GGGGAAAACATTGAAAACGCGCCTGCAGTTAACACATTAGCTCAGATTTTAAATCTATGCTGAACTACTAGTGTTTAATATTCTTTACCACTCAGCCGTTAGTAAGTAAGCGGATTTTAATCCCTTTCTGCACGACTTTTCAGAAATAACGGATGTTTTCTCTTTTCATGTGGGAACATCTATCTGCAGCGCTTCCGGACTCCAATGAGTCATGGTTTAGTTGATTAGTTGATCACGGCAAATCACACGACGGCCTTACGGAAGTGATGCCTTCGTGGAGGGTTTTCTAAGTGAAACTGACTCGTATACACGTTACACATGGCGAAAACCACGAAAACGCCCAAGCAGCCAGCCTATTCGCCGGGATTCGAACCCTAGACCGAATTGCCAGTGTTCAGCAAATTTACCACGCGGCCGCTGGTGGGCTCCATAATTCTAAGCATTTTTTTGATTTGGTAATTGGAATTATAAACTAATTAAGCACTTCTGACTGACACTTTTTGCATGTGTTCACAAACCAGTGAAATTTTCTAGGTTTTGTGTTGTGCTTAATTGTTTAACTTCTATTTTGCTGGAGATAACTTGCGTTAACACAGTTTAAGGAACCGTAGGATTCAAGATAAACCCGCAAAACAAGAACTGAGAGCTACAAGTCTTTTACAAAGACATATATAGAATAGATAGCTTCGCAACATTATTTACTCATTAACTAATAACCACTATTTATATATTAATTAGAACTTTTAAATTCTACCTCAGCTTGTATTTAAATTCTTGGTCTGAAAAATCACGTAACATTTTAAGCCTAATACCCGCTTTTTAAAACTTTTTTGTCACTGAAAGAAAGTCGCGGAACCCATTTGGAAAGAAAAAAATGCACATTTCTCAATCAGCATCGAAACTTTCATCGTTAAAACATGGCAGTGGTATTCATTACTTTTATATTATACGTCTAAGCCTAACGTACTAAAACTGAGCAGATTAATAAAAATATTTAGCTGCACTAGTATTTTTACAGTCTGAAAATGTGATTTTTTAAAGGCATTTTTAATGGTAAGCTACCTTTCTAGAGACAGAAGTTTTAAAGGGAAAGACATTTTTAAAGGTAAACTAACGGGAAATATGAAAAACCGGAGAATTTTCAGATCAGTTTTCAGCAATAGTTCTTATTGATAATAGAATATATATTGTTCGTCAAACTTAAAGATGGTTGACAGATATAAAACATTAATGTTACTAGTTGAAATGTCATCAAAAATAATTTGTACTACATTGTTTTGCATACATTATTATGTTTACCAGTTGTTTATTATCAGAATACTGAATTTCAAATATATGGAAAATTAAAAATGACTGGAAAATTATCTTCCCCGTTTTTCAAATCCTTCTATAATTTCGCGTATGCTGCATATGAAAGGTATAATGTTCATAAACTAAACGGTTATCAGATGTATTCCTTATAGAATACCGTATTCTCTCGTGTATAAGCCTCACGTTTTTCACAAAAAGCAAATAAAAAGACCCAAGAATGGTTTATACGTGCGAATGATTAGAAATAGGTACATAAAAACATCTGGCAACACATATTTAACAATCGAGTACAAAATCCATTGTTGTCGGATGAGCAGGTCGTTTAAACGAAAATATGGGGCAACATATTTGGCTACATGCATATTTTAAACAGCAAGTTATTAGATTCTCTTAGGAAAATAGGAGTCGAGCTGCAGCACGTGATTTTGACATGGATGAATCAAACAAGCGACGGTGGAAAAAGCAGAAGAATGAACTTCAAGGAACAGGCTTCAAGAGGAAGGCGTTGTTTCGAGGAAATGCAGATGAGTATATGCAGTTGGAAGATAATGTTTTATCGTATGTGAATGAAAAAATAAGTTCTGGTTATGCTGCAACTGTTAATACTTCCAACATGTGTATGCTGTCACTTCCAAGCTCGTGAAGCAGCTAGTCAAATGAAGATACTGTGAATATCTTGAGGATAACATACTGAGGGATATTGGTACCAGCGATAGCGATAGTGATGGTGCAAGCAACTCTTCTGGTGATACCAATGAATAACAGAAACATGCTCCTTTTGACCCATAATAAAAATTCTGTCTCAGTGTGGTAAGTATCGTTTTTATTTTAGCTGCACACCTCCAAAGCGAAGAAAATATTATAGATGACAGGCTAATGGCGACTTTTATTCAAGAATTTTTTTTTTTAATTAGAGGTTAAAAATAAAGTTACGGCTTATAAATCTGATAATATAGTATTTTATAAATTTAGGTTTTACATTAGGTTACAAGATCTAGAGTAATTGAATTGATTCTTTCTTTTTTTTTAATTAAAAAAAAAACTTGTGAGCTGAAATGTATAATTCCTTAAAGCCATCAACTGATATTCAAATGGAATAAAAGAAACACTCAGAAGAGAAAACAATTGAGGGAAGGAATGCATATGGAAAAATCAAAACTTTTTTAAGATAATTTTTAAAAAATAACTTTTGCGAAATTTCTGTAGGGAGGGAAAGTAGGTACATTGACATATGCCCGTTTCTTTCAATAATGTTAAGTTCATAGTCTACTTGTGATCAGACTGTCTGTAACATTTCAGGAATGGTAGCTATCCCAGCAGAACAAATGCAATACTTCAGGTCCTTTAAACTCTCCACTTTAATTTACTGCTTAATAAGCATTCATTTCCAACTTAGGAGAATATCTCAATCAGGGTTAAAGGAGTCAAAATTCGGAAAAACTAGATTAGTTGATTCATTATGATAGAGGTGGTATTTCTGCATATGTAGCAAACTACCGCTTATGATGTTTGCCCTCCAAAGAAGTCTAATTCCATAATATTAAGAGTACGTATTTTTACAATACTTTACTAGTTTAAATTTTAGACATGTATACAAAAATTGTATTTTTTAAATTTTATTTCCTTTGAAGATGAAAATTCACTTTATTCAAACTACCCATTTCTTGCTGTTTGACATTCAAGCTAGTAATGTATCATATGATGTGAACAGAAGTTTCGAAAATATATGTGATTTTCAGTTGATATTGCCATAACAATAATGGTTGTAATGTGCTCATTACATTCATTAATTAGGCAATAAAATTAATCAATGCCCATGATCAACAATAAAATTAATGAATGTCCATGCTCATTACATTCATTAATTAGACAACAAAATTAATCAATGCCCATGCACCTTTTTCTTTCACAGAAGTTCTACCAAAATTGAAAAACTAAAACTCGATTAATAAATTTATAATATAAAAGCTTGTCAGGAAGTTCTGCCAAGCGGGTCATAACTAATGTATTTTTAACAATTTCAAATGAATTATTACTTAAATACAGTCCTTTAGATAAAAATACTAAAATTGATTTTTTTATTTTGCAGTAATGAATTTGCAATGGTGAGTCAAAAAGAAATTCTTTTTAGGATTCCTTATGACATGTGGTGAAGACAATGCATGGTAATTCATGGAAAGTAGAGCAATGTGTAGAAGAACAATGTTAATAGTGTTTGTAGATGACTTCTAACACAAGTATTCATGTCCAACTCAGAAGTGGAAAATCTCAGTCAGTGGTAATGTACTCAGATTTGGATAGTTGAATTAATTTATTCAAAATTACAAACGTATATCGTGATAGGGGTCTACATATGTCATAGTAAGTCTTACAATGTTCCAGTGTGCTTAGGATAGCCATGCACCTACTTACAAAAGGATTAGTAAGATGGGTTCCCGAGCACCTCACAAAGATGGTGATGGTTCAATGAAAAGGAATTTACCAAGATTTTCTAAAAACACCAATGAATCACAGCTTTTTTATGACTAATGGTCTGATCACAGGTAATGAAATGTGACGTATCTTTACGACTTTTATCCTAAAGAACAGTCTATGGAAAAGCGCCACTAATCATCGGCAGAGGAGAGGGAGGGAAAAAAAAAAAAAAAACAGAATTTCCAGATCAACTGCAAAAGTCGTGGTAACTGTGTTTTGGGGTTAATTGGGGTTAAGATGAAGTGGCTTTCATTGATCACTGGTGCAAAGTCAAACAGTAAACAAAAAGAGGAAAGACACTGAGATATTAAACAAACTGCATAGAACAGTGAACAGTAAAAATAGCGTGAAGACTCCAGTATACCATGATAATGGCAGACTTAACATAATCATTTCGCCCAAACTAAAATTGCTCAACTCAGGTAGACAATCACGCTTCATCCAGCATACCATTTCAACTTAGTCTCTTTAATTCTATCATTTCTGCATCTGTGTTGCCATTAATCCAGCTCAAACATGGAACTCAAAGCAATAGTAAAGGCTTCTTTTTAAGCCAAATGTGGCAGCTTTTTTAAAGTGCTTTCAGATTAGAAAGGAAAAGATGGGAAACGTAGTCATAGTGGTGATGGCTAGATCAAGAACAGGGCACGCACAAAACTCAACTATACTTACACCAAAATTTTCTCTCATTTTATTTGAAAACAGGCATCACTTACCGATCAATCCTTGTAGATCACTGCAAAAATTTGTAAGGTATCTCTTTTGATATTGATGGTGTTTAAATTGTTGATCAGTTATCCTGCTGTATTTAGTAAACTTTACCGCATTAGAAGTTCTTAAACTTTTGGTATTTAAAAAAAAAGTTTAACAGCTATAGTCTATTTAACGACTCTTAAATAATCTAAAATTAGTATTCCGACATACAATCAAATTTTGATAAGCAGAAATTGAATATAGTAGGAGAGAAAGCAATTAACTGAATACTCAGTTTATCAAAGAAGGTTATTAATTTCGAATTCTATCGAATTCTATGTTTCTACATCCAGTTCAACTTATTAAAGCTCTACTGTAATTGCAAATCAAGCTTTCAAAAATATAAAATAAAACTGAAACATTTTTAAAGCCTTATTAAGATGAATCTGATAAATAACACTTTTGAAAAAATATAAATGAAAAACACTAATACATGGAGAGCCCAAAATACTTTCTCTTACCTTGGCAGATAAAGGTATCGTAGTAAGACAACAGATTTGCCCGTTGAAGTACTCGGTACAGCTGAAGCTCAGATTCGTTGGTAGGTTGAGACGTCATAGCTACTGCCAAAAAAAAGTACTATTAAAGCGAAACCGGATTAGCATCTAAAATAAGCATATAAAATCACAACTAAGGCATGCAAACAGCATTCACACTACGTAAAGTACGAAACAGCCAAATTAAACGAAGTTCACTAAATTCAAATCCTGACACTGCTTCATGCCTGATTTAAGAATACATGCAATGCTTCTGTAACTTTCGCATTCAGATTCCTTAATTTCTCCTGTAAATTTTTAGCTATGGGTATTTAGTGTAATTCAATTTATTTGGTAAACTGAAATGAATAAAAGATTTTGCGTACATTACGTATTTCCTTCTTTTATTAATATGATTCAGTCCAAGAAAATACGACGCATGCAATTTCTGTTTAAGGAGATTTAGTGTGCTAAAGCCATTCTTATTACAAGGCACATAAATAACATAGTTCAATCATAAGTCTGCAGTAAGATTATGGTACTATAACAACCGACTTAGATGTGAAGCAAATCTCACATTTATATACATCTGCACTGCATTTCTGTTACTTACATGTCCTTATTTCATTTAATGTGGCACCATAGTAAAAGTATAAAAGAATACTATAAATTTATACCTAGATTCCACGAGAAAATTTAGTTGTCAAGCTAAATTATGTATTATTTCAGTCAAGTATTGAATGATGCAAAAGTTATGAGGAGGAGCAGCCAACAAGAAACTAAAAAAATGGGAAGAGACACCTATTCAGCTACGAGATATGGTACTGGATCTTATTTTTCTGCATCTCTACTTTCTTCAGCCTCATCAGTAGCTGTATTAATAAGATATCTTAAACCGGTAGTTTTACTCGCATTCCCTGGACAAGTAAGGGATTTATCATATCCAGCCAACGTTATTTTCCACAAATTATGTGTGTAAGGAAATATGAAAAGCAACGTTTATGAGCTGTAATAAAGCATTATTTTTATTACTTTCGTTGTTAAAATAAGGAAGAACAACTGCTCAAAATCTCTGCAATAAAGGAAAGAGAGTGTTTCTTCAACGGATTTGCTTCAATGGTGTTCCCCATGCCCTCCAATTTCAGGTCAAATAAGAATTTTTTAATTAACAGAGACAGCATGCTGCAATTAAAAATTTTTGTATATGTAATACACAAATTAATTTAATACTTTGTAATCATGAACTATGCTTATAAATAATCCAACTAGTTTAATAAACAAATTATTCCTTCTTTTTCTAAAATAAATAAAAGTTTTTTTCACAAATATAAAAATTTAGCTTTAAAAATAAACATTCAAAAGAATTAGAGAATAAACAAAGACGAAAGATTAAAAAAATTGGATAATCAAGAACCAATAATTAGAAAAAATTATTTTTCCCTGATAGATATGAAAGAGATAATTTACAATCAGATTTTACTAGTCAAATAAACACTGAAAATTTCTTCCATTTTAACTCCCGAAAATTAGAAAACTATGTTTCTTCTACCCTAATTAACAAAAAATTAATTTAATTGGATTTAAATTTTCATGTGAAACTACACCAGAAATAGCAAATTAAAAAAAAACATGCAATTTAATAATTTTTGATGCTAAAACCAAAAGTCATGCCTTCACCTGAGGCAAAATGGTAAATACCTGCCCTTATGTGCATTATAAGTTTATATACATATGTATGTGTTCTGACAAGTAAGTAATGAGACAGATTTTACTATGATCAGCCGTTTGTCAGGTTATACATGTCTTCCAAATTGCCAAACCTTCATTTACAATCTAGTAATATTCTAATACACCCTACTAAATATGATGGAAAACCACTTCGTTTAGTTATACCAGAATGTTGTTGCAGGGTAGAGTAATCAATAAACATTAACTTTTGTTTTAAATTTGAAAAAAGAACTACTAAGGCGGAGGAGTTAATGACAGCAGTGCATGAAGATTATTGTTTATTTCATGCAAAGATATTCTGATGGTACGCTTGATTCCACAGTTGCGAAGAAATTCAGAAAGTTTGCAGTTAAAAACGGATAAAAAAAGTTAGAATTCCTATCTTGAAATGAACCAAGGTGGGAAAAAACTTTGCGGTGAAACGCTTAACAGTATTATCTGTTTTGAATGAACAGATATATATAATATGTACACAAATGATAAAGGTCTCACTCATTATCGGATAGGAGAAAGAAATATTCTACAAATATAGTACAGATAGCGCTCAAAGTTTCCACCACCAGTTACAATAACTAGTACTTAAATTTATATTTGCCCTACAAAAAAAGGTTTTCGATTACCCCCCATACGATGTAACATCGGTAGGGCATGCCTATACATATTTAGTTGATGTGATTTTTAAATCCCAGTCAACGGCAACCGAATTCTCTGCCATATCAGAAAATACAGAAAGGTACAGCTGTTATTTAATATTTTCCACAAAGGTGATTCTGATGATCTGTACGCTTCGCTAACGTCTTTGGTGGCAGAACGCAAGAATATATTCTGCATTGCGAAGCACTTAGTTTCTCCGGTTGAGAAAGCTACATTTCTCTTCCAATTTCCAAATGGCGTAATATATAATATATATATATATATATATTAGAAATATTTTTACCGGGTTGCTTTTAGGTTTAGGTACTGAGATGCAGAGGTTTTATAGTGCACCGAATATCATTCCCCAAGTGGAGAGTACCTTCTTGACAACTAAACAACTCATCGGCGCAAGCCACCTGCAAGTTTTGGTTGAAGGGAACTCAAACGTGTTGTACAGACATTAGGTAATTTGGAAACAGGAGTAATGAAAAATTAGCAATCGCATTCGCCGGGATCGAACCACGAACCTCTGGGATATCGGTCCAGCGTGCAGAACCACTGCACCACGAAGGCACGCTAGGAAAGTGGGAGAAATTTCTTATAGTATATAAAAAAACCAAAGCTATTTTTCAAACTTACACTCAGGAGCAAAAGTGGCAGTGACTAATGGCCAGCCGCAGAGACTTCCTCGGCCGTTCCTCAACTTCTGGCCTGTTTTCGGATTGAGGTGATGGCCAGTTCCTGAGTGGATTGCCCGTTCCTGATCTGATAGTCCATTTCAGATCTGAAGGACTGTACTTGATCCGCTGGCAAGTGTCCTGAAGGGGGCAAGTCCAGCACAGAATATTTTTTTTAACTGTATAACTTTCCCGATATTATTATCTTTACGATGCGATCTCTTAATTTAATGACAGCATCCTTTTTCTTTGTTATATTAGTTTTTTGTTACTTTGAAGGAAAAGCCCTGGTTCAGTTGTTATTAGAGTCTGTCTTGGTGAACATATTTTCTGTTTAAAATGAAGTCATGCGGGGAGAGGTTGTTTCTGGCCATCAAAATAACACACTGCACTGGAGCTTTATAACCGTTATGATTACACACAACACAGAGCAAAATAATTTTATTTTTTGTGTATTTAACAAATCTTACTTGGTTACAACATGTACGGCATTTTCTTTCTCCTTGACGCGTGCTTTCGTGGAATGCACACTTTTTCACGTCTCCTGCTCAAAAATAAATCTAATGACACTACAAACAAAACAGAAATAAGGCTCGAATATCAAGTTTTGACAACACTTATTAGTTCCTTTTAAAGTATTATATTAGAGCATTTGCCTAAATCTTTCATTTAATACGTCTTTACTGCAAACAAGATAATTCTAAACAAATTGAAATTAGCTTAACATATCCTACCTTATAATATTTATTTTCCTAAGTGTATTCCTCAATATTTCTTAAGGAAGTACTACTCAAATAAACAAGGAATTAGCATGATTATCGCTTTCTATTTAACTCAATTTTTGTCATCTATTTACATGTTATCCGTAAACCGGACGTCTTACGGTCCACCAGCGGTTGTCCTTCACCAGGTAGTTCGAGCAGGGTTCAGACCCCGGGAAAACGAGCTAGCTGCATGGAAGGCTTTTCTGGTTTCCCCGTGCATAATGTGAATACGCATCAGTTTCCTTTAAAAAGTCCTCCATGAAGGCCTCTCTCTCCATATGCAGATAAACCCTGATTTAAGTAATTCCAAATCGAATTCAGATGTTGAGTTTTTTATAACTTTTTTTAAAGTTTTAAAAACTTATCAACTGAATTAATTATGTGAAGAGTCTGAAGATATTTCCCAGCATTCGGTTGCTAAAGCAGGTAAAATGTATATTAATCAGAAACAATATCCTATAGTATAATAATTTAAATGCTTAAATCTTTCAAAGATTGCTAACGAAGTAATGAAAACTTTTGAAGAATATAAGACTTATCGTCAACATGTTAAGCTTTGAATACTATTGGACATCCGGAGAAAAATGTAACCGAAACTTTGTCTACCACTTTTAAGTCAAGGGAATGAGATACTTCTTTCAGTTCAAAAATGCCAGATGGCAAATCAATGAATAAAACATTTTAGAAGTAACTTGTCAATTTCAATGCAAGTCAACAACCCCTTTCCTCCTTCAATGCACTGCAATATTTCGACCCTGGTTTGCGAACACCGACAACAATGGACCGTGACATTGCAGAAACAATTAAAACATAATAACCTCAACGAACGAGATGAAATCTTTAAACTTTCTGAAACAAAAGTATCTCTAGCTAGCGTATGGCTCAGAGCGAAAGAAAGAAAACGATCGATTCCATCCGTTTCCTGAAATTGTATATATATAAGTGATGATAGCGGAAATCGATAACAAACAAGTAACAGTCGAAAATAATGGATCAAATAATTTCTCCCGGCAAGCAGCTTCTCACTTCAGAAGATGACTCAAGTTAGATAAATATATGTGTATATGCATTAAAAAGAAGGGAAAAATAATTTCGCGCTACAGTATGGAATTTACGCAATAATGAACAATAAAACATGTTTTACGAAAGTAAGTTACAATATCTGTTACCATTTTCTAAATTACCATGGAAGGAAAACTAGAAAATAACTAATTTCACCATCTTCAAGGCTAGTAATGGAATTCGAAAATAAATTCTAAATATATATGCAAAGGGATGAAGT